TTTTGTGTGTAATTAGCTAATGTATCTGGCTCCTAGAGCACCCAAAATCTTTTTTTCTCAAAATAATTTATGAGCACCTCCGTATAGAGTGGGGGAACCATCACTTATACTCACATAATTTTTTCATGTCCATTTTTGCATCTACAGGCCCTCTTTTAAAAATCACGTAAAAATTCCTCAATTTTTCGTATGTATTAGCCCATTGATATGATGCCCAGTGCACCCATTTTTTTTCTCAAAAAGCTTTATGATGACCTCTATATTGAGTAGGGAAACAATCACGTATATACTCGCACCATTTGTTCATGCCCATTTTGCATCTACAAGCCCTTTTAAGGAATCACAAAAAAATCCTCAGTTTTTCATGTGTATTAGCCCACAATTCTGGCTCCCAGAGCACCAATTTTATTCAAAAACAAATATGAGTACCTCCTTATTGAGTCCAGGAGTTAGCAGGTATACTCACACCATTTTTTCAAAATCATTTTTACATCTACAAACCCCTTTTTTAGGAATTGCGCAAATTTCTCAATTTTTCGTGTTTATTAGCCCATGGATCTGGCATAGAAGCACCCAAACAAAATTTTCTAAAAAACTTTATGAGGACCTCTATATTATATTTGTAGCCATCACATGTACTCATACCTATTTTTTCACGTCCATTTCATCATCTACAGACTTTTTTTAGGAATCATGCAAATTTCTCAATTTTTCATGTATATTAACTTATGGATCTGGCGCCGAGAGCACCCTAATTTTACTTCTAAAAAATCTTTATGAGGACCTCCATATAGAGTTGGAGAAACATCACGTATACTCACACCATTTTTTTATGCCTAGTTCCGTATCTACAGGCCCTTTTTTGGGAATCATATAAATCTTTCAATATTTCATGTGTATTGACCCATGGATCTAGTGTCTAGAGCACCCAATTTTATTTTTCAAAAAACTTTATGAGGAACTCCGTGTTGAGTTTGGGAACAGTCACGTATATTAACTTCATTTTTTCACGCCTATTCCGCATATACATACCCTTTTTATGAATTACAAAAATTTCTCAATTTTTTATTGTATTAGTCCACGTTTCTAGCGCTCGGAGCACCCAAAATTTTATTCTAAAAAAATGTATGAGGACCTCCTTATTGATTTGGGGAATCATCATCTATACTCACACTATTTTTTTGTAGCCTATTTTCGTATGTACAGACATTTTTTTAGAATTTGTGCAATTTATATCATTTTTTTTCATGTATACCCTATGGATCTAGCGCCAGGAGCACCTACATTTTTTTCTCTCAAAAAGGTTTATGAGGACCTCCGTATTTAGTTGGGTTATCATATAACGTATACTTTCACCATTTTTTCACGCTTATCTTCGCATTTACATGTCTTTTTTCAGAAATCGCGCAATTTACTCAATTCTTCGTGTGTATTAAGACCAAGGATCTGGCGCTAGAACACCTAAAATATTTTTTCTCAAAAAAAATTATAAGGACCTCTGTATCGATTTGGGAAATATCATGTATAATCTCACCATTTTTTTCATGTTCGATTCCGCATTTCTAGGCTCTTAATATATGAATTGAACTAATTTCTTGATTTTTTACATGTATTAGCCCATGGATCTGGCGCCAGAAGCAACCAAAAATTTATTTTTAAAAACTTTTATGAGGACCTCCGTGTTGAGTTGGGGATTATAAAATATACTTGCATCATTTTTTTCACACTCATTTTCCATTTACATGTCTTTTTTTTTTGGGAAGTTGTGAAAATCCCTTAATTTTCTATATTTGAAGCCAATGAATCTAGTACCTATAGCAGCCAAAATATTTTTTCTCAAAATAATTTATGAGGACCTCTTTATTGAGTTGGAGAACCATCACGTATACTAACACATTTTTTTATGTCCATTTACGCATGTACAAGCTCTCTTAAAAATCTTTTGTGTGTTCTGCCAAGGGCACCTAAAAAACTTTTCTTAAAAAATTTACGAGGACCTCTATTATTGACTTGGGAACAATCACGTATAGTCGTACTATTTTTTTTTGCACCCATATCCGCATCTACACATCGTTTATTAGAAATGACGCAAATTCCTTACTTTTTTGTGTGTTAATGCCCATAAATCTGGCTTCCGAAGCACCAAAAATTTTTATTTTCAAGAAACATCAGTAGGAAATCATTATTGAGTTGGGAAACTATCACGTATTCTCATACTACTTTTCAAGCTTACTTTCGCATTTATAGGCCTTTTTTAGGTATTGCACAAATTTCTCTATTTTTCGTGTGAATTAGACCTTGGATCTGGCTTCTGCAGCACCCAAATTAATTTTATTCGGAAAACCTTATGAGGACCTTCATATTGAGTAACCGTCATGTATACTCACATCATTTTTCATGTTCATTTCTACATCTAGAGGGCCCTCTTTAGGAATTGCACAAATTTCTCAATCTTTCATTTGTATTAGCCGATGGATCTAGTGCCTGGAGCACCAATTTTTTTTCTCAAACTATTTTATGAGGACCTCCGCATTTAGTTGGGGAACAATCAAATATACTTGCACCATTTTTTTACATGCAATTCTACATCCACATGCCATTTTTAGGAATCATGCAAATTCCTCAATTTTTTGGTGCGTAATAGCCCACAGGTTTGAAGCTCATAGTACCCATATTTTTATTCTGAAAATTCTTTTTGAGGACCTCCTTATTGAGTCAGGAAACCATCATGCATACACACATTTTTTTTCAAGCCAATTTGCTGCATCTACAGGCCGTTTCTGGGAATTGCTAAAATATCTCAATTTTTCATGTGTATTAGCCGATGGATGGATTTGGCGCCTGTAGATCCCAAAAAAATTCTCAAAAAACACTATGAAGATCTCCTTATTGAGTTGGAGAACCATTACACATACGCACACCATTTTTTCACTTCTATTTCCGCATCTACCGACCCTTTTTTAAGAATCACACAAGTTCCTCAATTTTTCATGTGTAGTAGCCGATGGATCTGGCGCTCGGAGAACCCAAATTTATTTTCTCAAAAAACTTTACGACAACCTCTGTATTGAGTAGCAGAAGCATCATGTATACTCACAGAATTTCTTTTATGGTCATTTCCGCATCTAGACGCCTTTTTTTAGGAACCACGCAGATTCATCAATTTTTCGTGTGTATTATCCCATGGATAAAGAACCTAGAGCACCGAAACTTTTTTCTTAATAAAATTTATGAGAAAAAAAGAGGGATATATGGTATAAGTGGCTTACAGAGATCTCCCAAGCCTACTATCATTATAATCTATCTATACGATTGACGGATTCAGCCCCTATACCTAAATGTATTAAATCGTCTTCTAATTCATCCTATTATACTAGATTAGATAAGTACCATGGGGAAATACGTAAATGGATAGATTACCCGTATATTTATAGTTTGCACTTATGAATAAGACTAACACATCAATGATGCGGTCTAAGATTTTTAGGAAAAGACCTTACAGTACCAGGATTAGTATGGACTACTACGTATTTATATGGAGAACCAACTTGTATACTCAAACAATTTTTTTTCATGTCATTTCCGCAGCTATAGGCTTTTTTAAGGATTCACACAAATTCTTCATTTTTTCATGTCTATTAGTCCACAGATCTGGCGCTCGAAACACCCTAATTTTTTAACAAAAAAACAGTACGAGTACCTCCGTATTGAGTTGGGAAACAACACGTATACTCACACCATTTTTTAGGTATGTTTCCGCATCTAGAGGCCCTTTATAGGAATTGGGCAAAGTCCTCAATTTTCAAGTGTATTAACCTATGGATCTAGAGCCTAGAGCACCAAAAAAAAATTCAAAAAAACTTTATGAGGACATCCGTATTGAGTTGGAAAGCAATCATATATACTCGCACTTATTATTTCACTCCCACTTCCACATCTTCAAGCCCTTTTCAGAAATCGCCTAAATTCCTTATTTTTTCGTGTGTTGATGCCAACGGATCAAGGGCCTGGAGCAACAACAAAATTTTGTGAGGAACTCCTTATTAAGTTCGGTAACCATCATGTTTACTCACATTATTTTTTCAAGCACATTTTTGTATTTACTAATCCTTTGCTCAAATTCCTCAACTTTTCATGCGTATAAGACCATGGATTTGGCGCCAGAGCACCCTAAATTTTTTTCTCAAAAAAATTATGAGGGCGTCGTATTGAATTGGGGAGCTATAACGTATACTTGCACCAATTATTTCACGTCCATTTGTGAATTTATAAGTCCTTTTTAGAAATCACAAATATTCCTAAATTTTCCTATGTATAATCTCATTGATATGGAGCCTAAGTCACCCAAATTGTCTTTCTTAAAAAAAATTTATGAGGACCTCCATATTGAGTTGGGGAACTATAACTTATACTCACACCATTCTTTCACGTCAATTTCATCATCTACAGGCCCATTTTTAGAATCTCACAAATTGCTCAATTTTCGGGTGTATTAGCCCGTGTGTGTCTGGAGCCCGAAGCACCAAATTCTTTTTATCAAAAGCATTATGAAGAACTTAGTATTGAGTTTAGGAACCATCACGTATACTCACACTATTTCATTCACACACATTTCCGTATCTACAGGCCCTTTTATTGGAATCATGCAAATTTCTCAATTTTTCGTGTGTATTAGCCCACTGATCTGGCGCACAAAACACCCCAATTTTTTCTTAAAAAACATTATGAGGACCTTTGAATTGAGTTGGACACATTCATGTATACTCACGCCATTTCTTGAAGCTCATTTGCGCATTTACATGCCTTTTTTTAGGAATCGCATAAGTTCATCATTTTTCATGTGTATTACTTCACGGATCTGGATCCCGAAGCACCCAAAATTATTTTTCTCAAAATACTGTATGAGGACATACTTATTGAGTAACCATCATGTATATTCACACTATTTTTTTTATATCCATTTCCTCAATTACTCGCCCTTTTTTAGTAATTGCATAAATTTCTCAATTTTCTGTTTGTATTAGCCGATGAATATGGCTTTCGGAGAGCCCAATCTTTTTTCCCAAAAAGCATTATAACAACCTCCATATTGAGTTGGGGAACCATAACATATAATCACACTAAAATTTTCACCCCCATTTCTGCATCTACAAGCCCTTTATTTAAAATTGTGCAAATTCATCAATTTTTGCGTGTATAAGCCCATGGATCTGGCGTCAGGAACTCCAATATTTTTTCTCAAATAATTTTATCAGGACCTCCGTATTGAGTTGGGGAACCATCAGGTATACTCACACAATTTTTTTCATGCCCATTTTTTTATTTGATGGACTTTTTTTTGGAATCGTGCAAATTTCTCAATTTTTATGTGTATTAGCTCATGGATCTAGCGTTTGAAACACCCAATTAGTTTCCCAAAATTATTTAAAAGAACGTCTATATTGAGTTGGGGAACCATCGCGTATAATCTCACATATCTATTTTCTCGTCCATTTCCGCATTCACATATCTTTTTTGAAATCGCAGAAATTCCTATGTTTTTCGTGTGTATTAGCCTATTGATCTAGTACCCAAAGCACTCAAAACAAATTCTCAAAAAATCTTTAAGGACTTCTATATTGAGTTGGGAACCGTCGCACATATTAAAACCATTTTTTTCACATCCATTTCAGCATGTAGAGGCCCTTTTTTAGGAATTACGCAAATTACTCAATTTTTTGTATGTATTAGCCTGAAGAATTGGGGATCGAAACACTCCTTTTTTTCTCAAAGAACATTAAGAGGACTTTCGTATTTAGTTGGGAACCATCCTGTATAGTCACACATTTTTTTTCACTCTTATTTTCGCATCTACATGCCATTTTTAGGAATTGCGTGAATTCCTTAATTTTTCGTATGTATTAGCCCATGGATATGGTGTCTCGAGCACCCAAATTTCTCTTTCAAGAAATTTATAAGGACCATTATATAGAGTTAGGGAATCATCATGTATACTCAAATTATTTTTTCACGTCCATTTCCTCATCTACAGGCCCTTTTTAGGAATCACGCAAATTTGTCAACTTTTAGAATTTATTAGTTAGCCCATAAATTTGGCGCCCTAAGCACCCAAATAAAGTTTCTCAAAAACATTTATGAGGACCTACATATTGAGTTGGGGAACCATCAAATATACTCACACCACTTTTGAATCAACTTTCTCTTTTTAAGAAATTGCGCAAATTCCTTAATTTTTTCTGTGTCTATTAGCCATGGACAAAGTGTTGGGAGAACCCAAAATATTTTTATCAATAAAATTTATAAGGGCCTCTGTATTGAATTGGGAACTATAACGTATACTCGGATTATTTGTCACATCCATATCTGCATCCACAGGCACTATTTAGGAATCGCACAAATTCCTCAAATTTTTGTTGTTATTAGGCCATGGATCAGGCGCCACATAGCACCCAAAAGTTTTTGGTCAAAAAAATTTATGAGAACCTCTTAAATAGGAGAACTATCACATATACTCATACCTTTTTTCCACGTCCAATTCAGCATCCAGAGGCCTTTTTTATGAATCGCGTAAATTTATCAATTTTTCGTATGTATTAGCTTATAGATCTGGCGCCTGTAGCACCCTAAATTTTTTTTTGAAACTACGCAAATTCCTCATTTTTATTTTATCAGGTGCGGGAGCACTCTAAATACTATTTTCTAAAAACTTTATGAGGACCTCTGTATTGAGTTGGGGAACCATCACGTATACTTACGTCAATATTTTTACACCAATTTCTGCATCTACAAGCCCTTTTTAGGAATTACGCAAGTTAGTCAATTTTTGTTGTGTAATTAGCCTATGGTTTTGGCCTACGGAGTACCGAAATTGTTTTTCTCAAAAAAAAACTTTATGAGTACCTCCATATTGAATTTTGGGAACCATTACGTATTCTAGTACTATTTTTCACGCTAATTTCCACATCTAGAGGCCATTTTTTAAAAAGCGCGTAAATTTTTCAATTTTTCATGTTTATTAGCACATAGATCAACCGACCAAATCACCTCAAATATCTTTCTCCTAACTGTAGTTACTTAAGTTCAAGTAGTAGACAGGCGAGGCCCACATTTCTCCTATCACATTTTAAGTAATATTTCTATATTATGAGTTTGAAGTCAAATTGCAAAAACCAAATTTGACTAACATTTCTATTAAAAGGGCAATACAATTAAGTATGAAATAAAAATGGTCATTTGAACAACTCCATCCTAATGCTACTTTTTAGTATACATAATAATTCATGAGATTGTTCATAATCTTACATATTGTTAGTTATAGCATAGGTCCAGCTAAACTATCTTAGCAGCATCAATATAGCATAACAGAATATCTGTTCAACTACGTTGGGCTAGAATATCAGAAGTCCATTAAAACCAAAGATTAAACTAGAATTGGCCCGAGCCGCACAAACGCAGGCCCCCTCATCAACAAATTATGACGTAGGCTCAACCACTTGGGGCGACCTTAGGCAGGCACCCCTCCAAAGTGCAATGTAGGTCACAAGCGTAGTCCATGGATCTTCATGATCACCCATTGACCCCATCCAGGTAAGTATGTTATTCATCCTACTTGACTCACTATTATACCTCCTTTCGTCTCCATCTTCTTTATTGGTCGATGTGGGATAACTGGGTTCTTTTGTGTCCATATTTAAATTTTCATTGTTAAATCGAGTAGATATTAAAAAGAAGATAAAACATAAATTTATCTAATTATCTCAACGATTGTAGCCTTAGCCAACATTAAGAGAGAAACGCACTTTAAGATATAAACTAAATAAAATTACTTCGTGATTAGTGCTCTCAATTCCCAAACTATTACTACTTTCACTCGTGATATAAACTGCTTTCTATCTAAAACTAGGATTAGAAAGTTTACTGAGTTCTTCAATACTAAGTAGCTTGGTATATTTCGCCAAAAAGGAAAAATTATGCATTGATTAGTTTCTAGCTAAGTTTGCTCGTTACAGTCTTACAGAAACTCCATCAGTCTAGTTTAAGTCTTTAATTAATACTACTCTTTTTTATCCTAATTTGCATTGCATACCCGATACTCTCATGAAGCCCCCACACAAACTTGGTACCCGAGACAACAATGATGATTTGATAAAACTCTCAAATAACTTTTGATGATGAAAACATGAACCAGGTTCACATACACGTTCTAAAAATAAAATAAAGAGGCGGGAAGAGATCACTCATAAAATAAGAAAACATGTTCAAAACATCAATCCAAGTTAAACCGGGAGAAGAATGAAGGCGACTTAAGTTTAATTAAACTCTACACAAGCATAAAGCTAAAGAAGAAAACAATTGTCTTTCGCAAAATCAAAAATAAAGAGAATTTTTCAAGTGAAGGCCGAACATTCGACAATATCAATAAAGCGGAAGAAAGAAGTACTAGAGTTGGGATTTCTTTCTGATGTTTTGGTTCATCTTGGAATTAGTGTTTAGGACTTTTTTTTTCTCAAGTTATCATTCATGGCGAGCTTACTACTCAAGACTTTACAGCAATCCATTGTTTTTAATGGAAAGGCAATCCTTGTTAGCATTTGGTAAGATAATAGCTACCTCTGGGTAAAAGTCGTTACGTTTTTCACAAGGATTTTTAGACACTGTAAAGGGGAGGTCATTCAGAATGGATAATATAGACATTGGGAGACTCTACATATAAAATATATAGTAAGTGCTTTCATTGACTACAAATAAAAATCCACAAACCATCACCATCACCATGGAATTAAAGCACATACACTTTCTAGCAAGGATTAACCTTAAAAAGTCTCGAGACCCAAATGATAGCAATCAGACACTAAACAACAGAGCACAAGTTGATAATGTTGTAGCGAATTTAAAAAGAAATTTAAACAATTTGATCTGACAAGAAACTTTGTCTTCAAACTACTAAGCACCAGCTACAGTTAATATACATGATCCGAGAAACACGCTTGCATCATAACTTCGCTCTCAAAACATGGCAAGTCCTACACAAAAGTATAGTTCCACAATTCAGTAACTTTCTATAACTGTATGTTATGGTCATCGATAATAAAAGGGTCAAGCGCACCAAAGGTTTGTACCTGTAAATACACATAGTTTCAACAATCTCCTCTAGCTGATGTCACACAAGGATTGCGAGCAAATTGCAGCATTAAGTTGCCTGAATCATGCTCATCAGGGTCGAATTTATAACCTGCAAGATTTGATTAGTTTTACTACACCAATATCCCAACAAATTTCTCTTTCATAGATCGATGTACACTACCAAATTGTCCGACAATTTTGTGTCAAGCATTCATGAAATGTCCTTCAACTTGTACGAAAGTTTAAAGACCAAAATTTTGGAATATTCACATAACATTGATTTTGTTTAGTACTCTGATTAGTTATAAATTGAGAATTCCTAATTATGAGGTAGAAAAAAGAGAGTGTGAAGCTCACCTTGTAAGGCATCCATTGCAGCAGCTGCATGAAGCGGACTCACAAAATCAACAAAGCAATGAATCAAGGTGTTGACTCCAGGCTGCATATAAGTTGATAATCAGTAGACAGAATTTTTAATTAGTTGATGATGATGTGAAACGTATATATTCTTACATATATTGATGGTTCTGGTACGAGCCTAACTTCTTTGTAACCTCCAAAATGGCGGAATATGTCTGCAAAAACTGAAGTAAAGGGAAAAACTAGAATGGGCCATAAATAAAACAATAAGCTATTTCCACACAAGAAAAGGATACGTGCCACCTCTCTTGTTGTACAGTCCTCAGGCAAACCCTCTACATACAATGTACTGCTAGCATTTGGAGGAAGCATATCTTCTGGAGCTTGTAAAAAGGGGAAAATCAGCACAAACAAATATCATTTAGCACTGAAACCAAACAAGAAAAGGATAGTAAAATTAAGTGCAACAAAATATCAACATCAACCTAAATATATATATACATATACATATATGATTGTGAACTTAGTAATATTTTTAGTGCTTTTCATGATTTAGAGCGCTGTCTCTCTCTCTTTCTTTTGATTTATTTAAACATATTTTCATTACTTTTTCTATAATTACTGTAATGCAACAAAAAAAAAAGATAATAATATATTTTTATCATCTATATATATATATATATATATATATATATACCCCCTAGAAAAAACCACTAGATGCACCCTTGGATTGCTTAAGTCTCTATTTTAATATTGATTTTTCTTGTATTTTGAAGAAATTTGTGATACATATATTAGCAATTAAAATTAAAGATTTCCTTATATGTATTGTCATTGTATAAGGTCTATTTTAGTCTTTCTTTAAAATGTGTGCTAGTCTTTCTTTCTTTATAAAGTGTGCTCCACTTTGGTGAAGCAAACACTTCGCTTCACTCAAAGTGAAGCAAGACATTGTTGATTTTATTCGCTTCATACTCCCTTCAACACTAGTTCTAATTTAAACTCTCTTGGACTATCACCTTTTATCATCATCTGCCCATGATGATTGAAATCATTTCCTAGCTATCTTGCAACACATCACGACTGATGTGAATTGTTTAAGATGCAGGAATCGTTGCTAACATACAAGAAACCTTGCTAGTATCCAAGTGACAATGTGATGGAATTCTCTTCTCTTTTTAGCTAGTTTTACACTGACTATCAACCTCAATGGGATACTATAGATTCACCACTACTAAATAAGCCTTTACACCAAAGGTTCATCTAATGTATAAAAGCTACTAAAATAGCTCTAATATTCTGTCCAAAGAAATTGCATTGCCCTATTCACGCGGACTACAAACATTTACTACAACTTTGTCTTTTATTTCTTCCACTTACTTCAGTAATACCAAAGACTTTCTCGATGAGTATACAGGACATTCTTGGTGAGTATTCTAAATTCCTATCATAACTATATTACACCACAAACAACAAAAAGCATAAAAATTTAAGTTTTTAATTGAAAAGGCAAATGAACAAACTCTATTTTCAACAAGCCATAAAATTAAGTTTTGACTGATTTAATAAACCCTAGTATCTACAAGTCATAACAATTAAGTTTCTGACTGAAAAAGTATATGAATAAATCCTAGTTTCTACAAGTCATAAAAATTAAATTCTTAACTAAAAAATAAATTTTAAAACCCTAATTTCTACAGATCCACCCTATTGAGCAAAAAATATGTAGAAATCCTAATTGTCTCTTCTTTCTCAAGAGGATTTTTAATAGATACAGGGTTGATTATATACAATATTCATTGAGAGGGATTTCTGGAGAGAGAGGAGTAAGATCCGGCGACATTACTTCCAGCTGCACAGTGTTGGTGTCTTTCCGATAAGCACCCGCCGCCATATGTTAGTCCACCAGAGAGAAAATGACCTTCCACTAAAATTGAAAGAGAAAGGAAAAAGAGTGCTCACTATTTAAGGAAAGACAAAAAATGCATTGTAAAGAAAGATCCGCCCAAGTACAATGATGAATTTATTTAAAAGGAAAATCGTCTATATTAAGTAAGTGTAGAAGTATGACATGTTGCAAAGTGGCAGCCAAATGTTAACAAAATTGGCGATGATTGTCTAATTGAAAAATTATACATATTAAGATACACTTTGTAAATAGAAAAAAATCTTTATTATTTTACTTTTTTATTTCATATTATTACTTTTAGCTTCATGTTATTAACATGCGATTCAAAGATTAAAAATAAAATATATTCATAAAATCATTTTTGGAAAAAGGTTGAATGAATAACTCTCTTTACTTATTTTTGGTATAGGTATAAATTTCTTTTCACACTAAATCATTTCAGAATGACTAACCATCCATTATTCATCTCTAATATTTTGTTCATTATTTTCATTATATTTGAATATGGCAAAGGAAATTTATGTAAATTAAATAGTCTGTAAACGTAACAAACCTAATTTCTTAAATAAGTCAATTCCAAGAAAAAATAATTCTTTTGTTGACTATTCATATATTAGCTAAGATAGAGATTCTATCCTTAATTATTTTTAACAGTTTTTTTTTATTACACTAGTTTAATAATAGTTCTTTGATTTTCCAAAGATGATAAATTTGTATGAAGAACCTATAGATGACATATACAAAAAGTAGCTAAAGCTTATTATTCATTTATTATAAACTATTAAAATACTTAAATTATGGGTCAATAGTTAGTTAAATAGCAATTTTCAATAGATTATATTATTTCACAATGCAAATTATGTAACATATAAGCAACCGCCAAATTACATGACAAAGAGAGAAATATATGAGCGCCACCACTGATATACCTTCACTTTCTCTATATTTGATGAATTTAAGGGGAGAATAGAAAACTTGATGAGGTTCTTGATCGATTATAAAGTCGTTATATTGAGCAAAATAGATGTGAACTGACATACTAAATTTTTTTGGTTGGTTGCATCTTTAGATTTTGCATGCCCTTCAAAAAATGTTGGCTCAACCATCTTGGGTGGACCTATAGTTGGTCAAGTGAGTTCATATGATCCAACTTCGTTATGTATTAGATTTTTACTCCATTTTGCATAAATGTGATGTTTCGCTTTAGCGGAGAAGAGGGTTCATTTTGTCCACCAACGCTTAGGGGTGTTGTAACGACGTGTTTAGTCGTTTTGAGCAGCAAATTTTATTCTGGAAAAATTTTCTTGGTCGACGGATCCCACGACGAACCGTCATGGGCACGACGAACCGTCGAGGGGGTCTCGTTCCAAAACACATAGAATTCTGAAATTTGGGTACTGAAATCGACTCTCTGAACTTCGTGACGAAGTGGCAGGACGGACCGTCATAGGCATGACAGGCCGTCACAGATCCTCTAGTAAAAATTCAGTCTCTAAACTCTGTGACGACTCAGCAGGACAGACCGTTGCAGGCACGACGGCCCGTCACAGACTGCGTAATCCCAAGCTGGGTCGGATTTCTGTTAAATGTTTTAAGGGGCGTTTTGGACTATTCCTGCTTATAATAATAATGTTAGTGGTTGAATATTAATAATCCAATTTCTTGAGGGTTAAAAGAGATAACCTTGAATTAATTAATGGGTTAATTCACCATCTTTTATACTTAATTTTATGCTAATTAGGTTAAAAGAAAGAGCGTTTGAATAAGAAAAATAGAAAGAACAAGGAGAGGGAAAGAGAACAATCAAGAGAAGAGGGAAACGAAGAGGAAACAAAGCTTTGGGAAATTGCTTGCTTGATCACGAATCTTCGGTGGAGATAGGTTATGGTTTTTATGCTATTCGTAGTAGACTCTTAATAGCGAATGATATGTGTTGGGTAGTATTATGAAACCTTCTATATGCTTAATTGTGTGCTTACATGATGTGATTATATAATTGTGATGAATAAGCATGATGAGTCTATTGAATCTCTAATCCTAAATTTACCTTGTTAATGATGATGCCTTGGTATAAAAGAAGGCTTGATGAACTAAAGTAATGAGGTCGATGATGCCTTGGTATAAGAGAAGGCTTGATGAACTAATGTAATGAGGTTGATGATGCCTTGGTATAAAAGAAGGCTTGATGAATTAATAGAATGAGATTAGTGGAGCGGGTGTCACGAACCGTCACGTAGAATTAGGGGATCGGATGTCACGAACCGACACGTAGAAATCAGGGGATCGGGTGTCACGAACCGACACGTAGAATTAGGGGATTGGGAGTCACGAACCAACACGTAGAAATTAAGGGATCGGGTGTCACGAACGGACACGTAGAATTAGGGGATTGGGTGTCACGAACCGACACGTAGAATTAGGGGATCGGAGTGTCATGTACCGACACAAGAGGAATAAAGATAATAAATCTTAAAATTATGTTAATAAATTCGAATAAAAAGAACCTATATCCCAAATGAGTATGGTGTGGAGACTTGAGTTCTCATAGGTGTATTTGATGTGGTTACGCATGATTTGTGAACTTTTTGGTTTCACCTGTTGAGGAATATGGTTAATTTTATGTTATTATCTGATATATACTGTTTTCTATTTTGAGTTGGCCGATGATACCTACTCAATACTTATGCCTTGTACTGACCCCTACTTGTATTTGTTTTCTTGATTATTTGTGGAGTGCAACAAACGTGCCGTAGCCTTCAACTCAACCGCAACTCTAGCCAGTCTTCATTACACCGGTTTTGAGGGTGAGCTAATGCTTCTAGCTTGGACTAGATCTTCCTCTTCATGTCTTGATGCCTTGAACTTCCGGCATGGACTAGCTTTTTACTTATTTTAGCTTCTTAGATACTCTTAGATTAGTAATTTGAGGATAGATGTTCTTGTGATGATGACTTCCAGATTTTGGGAATAATAAGTATTGAGTTTTAGAAGTTATTTATTGATTTCGTTAATGAGTTTTAAGTCTTCCGCATTGTATTTTTTTTATTATGGTTAAAACGTTGGGGTTTAGATTGGTTGGTTCGCTCACATAGGAGGATAAATGTAGGTGCCACTTACGACGCGTTTTGGGTCGTGACAAACTACAAAATCGAATCAATAATAGAAACAACCACAAAATGAGTCAAATCGGAAAAAACTTGGATAGTGGTTTGGTTTGATTTAGTTTGGTATCGAAAAAAGAACCCGACTATATATGGGTTGGTTTGACTTACAATTTTAGTATTCGTTTTATTAAAAGTTTCTTTATTTCATAATACTAGTTCTTGACACGTGCCTTGCACATTAGTCCCACGAATATATATATATATATATATATATATATATATATATATATATAAATTACTTCAATTTAAACAAAAGCATATTTTGCATAAACTTTTCAAATATTATCAAATTCATCATGTATTATATAAATAGAAGTTTTGTCAATTAAATATCACTTAGAGTGTGTTTGGTATGAAGGAAAATGTTTTCTGGAAAATGTTTTCCAATTTTCGCATGTTTGGTTGGGGCAAAAGTTTTGGAAAACGTTTTCCAAATCAACTCATTTTCCTCAAAATTAAGGAAAATTACTTCCCTTACAAAATTTAGGAAAACATTTACAA